TTTTCTTTTTCTTTTTTTTTTTTTTTTTTTTTTTTTTTTTGCTCTGGTCATCATTTATAATTCCCCCCTTTCCCCCTCCCTTCCTGTTTCATATAATCTACCGTCAGTCGATGGATGTAAAACGCAAACAAACACCGTGATTTCTCTCTTTTCTCTCCTTTCATTTCCCTTCTTTATTGAGCAGCATTCTCTTGTCAAGTCAACAGCCATGATGCGCCGCACCGTCGCGGTGCTCGAGAAGCTCGTCATTGTCGAGTCGCCGAACAAAGTCATCAAAATCGAGGGACTTCTCAGCGACCCGCACGTCATCCCCGACTGGTCCTTCCGGCAGGATCATCTCCGGCCGTTGGGCGACGGCGCCGAGCGGGCAGTCGCGATGGCCACGACGGGGCACTTCATGGCCCTCAGCGAGATCCAGTGGACGCCCCGCAGCTCCACTCCAACACCATCACCGCAGGAAACAGAAGAGATGGAGGCTTTACCGCCAAACGGAACTCTCGCTGACTACACCCTGCAGTGGCAACTCCTCCCAGGCAGACGTATACAGGAGACATTGGAGCGTTACATGCAGGAGAAGTTAAATAATCTCACAGAGATTATATTAGCAACAGATCCAGATCGCGAAGGTGAACTCATCGCCGTACACGCCCTCCAAACAATAAAAAGACTCTATCCAAAGTTGAAAATACCCTATTCACGTGCCTATATACATAGCATTACAGAAGATGGTATTAGAAAAGCCATGAAGGAACGTTTGGTGGAGAAGTGTGATTATGACCTCGCTAATGCGGCAGAGACTCGTCATGCAATGGATCGAATGTTTGGCTTTTTAGGAAGTTCAGTGGTACGGGCAGCTAATGCCCAGATGCGTTCTATCGGTCGTGTTCAAACACCTGCCCTTATTCTTATAAATGAAAGAGAAGAAAAAATTGCCTCATTTTTGGAAAAAAATAAACCAACTTATCTTATTGAAACATTATTTCAGTTTCCAGGTACTAATGGTACAATTTTCTCCCAGGTTGTTTCTGTTCATCTTGATCGTAGAGGAGATGCTGGACATTTTAATACTGAAGCAGAGGCGAAACGAAATTTGAAAATGTGGAACTTGAATAATTGTAGTAATTTTAGTGTTCCACATGAGCCTGTTATTACACCATCAGAGGTGGAACCACCACAACCTTTTACTATGGCTACTGCAATTGCAAAGGCAAATCGTCAACTAAAGATGAGCAGTGAAGCAGTAAGTAGTTGTTTACAAGATCTCTTTCAATTGGGTCATATTACCTATCCAAGAACTGACAGTACTCGTATTGATGAGAGCGCTTTGCCTGCTATCTACAACGTTATTAAAAAAACGTTTGGCAAAGAATCTCTTTACCGTCTTGAGGATCGAAAAACTTTAACTCCTGAAAAGAAAAAAACAAAGTCACAAGGAAAGAAAAAGGGATCTAAACAAACTAATGTGGTGAAACCTTCTCTTGGAAATGTGGAAGATGCACATGAAGCTATACGTCCGACTAATATTTCCGCCGATGGGGAATCACTTTCTCTCCCACCACAAACGAAAGCTATCTATGATCTTGTGAGGAAAAATACTTTGGCAGCTTTTATGGTTCCCGCAAAGAGTGAAAAGATAGCAACCATGGTAAAATTTGTAAGTGGAAATGGAGAGAAACTTTTTGTGATTCTGGATGGTAAACGTCTCACAGAGCCTGGGTGGACTCGCGCTTTTCAAAAGGTTGATGGAGCTAATACTACTACTAATACCTCTTCTTCTTCTTCAACAACAACAACAACAACAACAACAGCTTCCAACACAAAACATAATAATCAAAATAATACTACTGAGGAAAGTGATGAAGTGATGGAGAAGGAGGGTGCCCCTGTTCTTCGTTCTCTTTCACAGGAAGAATTTTTGGCTATTGCAAATCTACAAAATACATTAAAAACGTCGAAAAGTGCGCAATTCTTTGAATTACGTTCTCCAACTGTTCGTGAAAATCGTCCAATTCCACCATTACCGCATTCAGAGGGTACACTTATTGAGGAATTGAAGAACAATGGTGTTGGTCGTCCAAGTACATACCCTATGATAGTAAAGACACTAATGTCTAGAGGCTACATTGAAGTAAACTCTAAAGGTCGCTGTGAAACGACACCACTGGGACGAATGTTGGTGACTACGGCGAAGTCTACATTTCCGTCTATTGTTGACATTGGCTTTACAGCATCATTTGAGAAGAAACTTGATCTTATCGCGAAGCCTAACACGGCGAAACGACCTTCTGGTGTGCGAGGAACTAATGTATCTCAAGCTGATTATGTACTCTCCATGTTTCTCTCAACATTTTTAAATTATGTTGCAGAAGCTACACGAGCACAGCGGGCTCGTATTGTGGAACGTTCAATGCGTTTAAAGCACGAACAAGAGGAAGATCCAACTATGGGCGAAGCGGAGTTTGAAGAAAGTGTGGTTAGTGCTAAGAAAAAGGTAGCCCTTGCAACAGCTGACTTGACGACGTTACCAAGAACCCATCACACTTTTTCAGCTTTGCAACGTGGCTTGATTGATTATCTTCGCCGTCATTTTCCCCCATCAAAGCTAGATTCTTCTTCTTCTTCCTCTTCTTCCTCTTCTTCTGCGAATGGAAGGAGTAACAGTAATAGCAACAGCTATAGCAATAACAACAGTCAATGTGACGAAACGATGATGAATGAATCTCCGACATCTATGCCTGAAAGGCGTAAATACGAGAGAAGCACTGGTATTTGGTGATCTCTTACTTTGATTCATTCTTTCTTATTGTAATCATAGAGTATAGAAGAAGCTGTCGCCATTGTAGAAGTGAAAGTGAGGATAGGGGAAACAAAAAGAAAATAAGAGGGGAAAGGTATGTGTCAGGTATTGCTTATTTACCATCCCCTCTAAATATCATAGAAGGTGTGGCGGGTCCTTCAAGTGAAGAGTCTCGTCGTTTTTTTTTTTTTTGTTGTTGTTGTTATTTTCGTTTGTTTTTGTTTACTTCTTTTTTTCCCTTTTTTTTTGTTGTTTGGGTGAGTTTTGTTTACCCCTTCATCTGGAGGATATGGGAAAGTAGTGGTGGGTGCAAAGATTAGCATAACGAGACGAATGAAGGCATACATGAAAGAGAGTTTTATCTTATGGAGTGACAAAATAACTTGTCTTTCATTTTTTTTTTCTTTCTTTTTTATTATCTTTTTTTTCTCTTTCTTTCTTTCTCTTTATTGTTTCTTTCCCCATACCTTCTTAATGATCTTCTGTTCTCAATAGGATCTTCTCCTTTTCGTCTGCAGAAGGGGAAAAATAGAGTTCATTTCTCTCTATCAAAAATCTAAAGAAGAAAATAATAATATTAATAATAACGAGTTTTACATATTTTCATAAAGATATTTCTTCTTTTATTTTAGTTATCTGAGTGCTTAGTGTTTACTTTCATTTTGTGCTCTTCTTCTTCCTCCTTTTCTCTCATTGCGACTGAAAGTAGTTAGTACTTGCACAGGAACTGCTCTGTTTCACGTGACTCGAAGAGGGCGGTGTGTGTCTGTGTGTGTAGGACCTCATTGAAACAGCCTTATAGTTTAACAAGGAAAACAACAGAAAACAAACAAAGAAAACAGAAAGAGAAAGTGAAGAAGGAGAACACGGCGAACAAGAAAAGAAAAGAAAAGAAAAACAAAGAAATAAAGGGGTCAATAGCTGAGGGAAAAAAAAAGAAAAAAAAAGAGGTAAGAAGGAAGATAGAATACTATTACAAGTTCTAATGCAGTCTGAGTGGAGTTCCCAAAAAAAGGGCGAAGACGACCATCAAATGAAACCCCCCGGGGGAAGTGCAGAAGATTCCCCATTACGCAATCTTCACATTGACATTCCCAAGTCGCCAACCGTTGAGAATCTTGAGAAAAACACACAAGATACCATTGATGAAGTGGATAAAAAAGGAGAAAAACATCTAAATGTGGAAAGTAAACCAAGGATGCTTAGAGTAAGTCCGTTAAATGCGTCTGACCTTAGTAGACAAATGGCAGCAATAGAGGCAAGTAATAAGATATCTTCTCGTGCATTTCTTAGTTCACATGGTCTTAGATTTTTAAGCAATGTTATGCAGTTGGAAGCCCAAAGAAATGAATGTTTTTCTGAAGATCATTCAAGAGATTTAGGAAGTTTTCGTGCTTCTTCTAGAGACGATCCACTGCAGATGATTCCTGGGCCTGACTTTTATAGTGTTCCCCCTGAAGGGAGTAATAATAATACTAATAATAATAATAACAATAAAAATAACAATAATAATAACAATAATAATAATGGTAGTAATGAAGCTTCATATCTTCCAGCAAAAATAACTCCTGAAGGTTCTCCTTGCACACCCATGACTCCAGGAGGATTGCATTGTGAAGACTCTGCAGATCCAAGCTCCGGTACATTGAGAGAAATGCTACGTGATGCTTCACAAGTCCATGGTATTCAACTAAAATGGCTTTTATGTAGCATTATTTTAGTCGTTGTAGTTATATTCCTTTTATTGTTGGGCCAAGTTCAAATTTTAGCAAAGAATCATATAGTTTCATCAGAGGAGGAAGTAGTAGCGATGTCTGCTGCTGCTGCTGTAAATCAATTGGAATGGTTACAACAAAGTATTAGGCATTTAATGAGATTCTTTCTCTTAACAGAAGAAGTTTCCATGAATATTTCTACAAGTGTAATTGTTAGCCAACTTTGTGCGTCTATAGGAGGAGCACCGTTAGTACTTGCTTCATATAGCGACTTTAATAATTCTCTTTTATGGTCTTATAAATGCCCTGCAGCAGTTTTTACTGATGTTGATCCTCCACAAACTTTGAAATATGACCGTGAACAAATACCTGGATCGTTACGTATGGCAGTTTACCGTTCTAAATATCTTATTGCTATGTTGAATCCTGATGATAATGATAAAACCTTTGTAGTGATATTACAAAAAGAACCGGTTGGACGTTTGCTTTTAGCAAATTCTATCCCATCTTATAGTTCATCAGAGTTAAAACATAGTTCAACTTCTCTTATATTACCAGAGTATTCTTCTTCCCTATTAGTGGTTGCTTTACACAGTTTAAATAATGATTATACAAATTACAGTGTAACGCAGCCAACTATACTAGGTCAGAGATTACATGGAATGTTTAATAATATATGTTCTAATGGAGAAACGTATACTTGGCATATAGTAACAAGACCCCTATTGAATGAGTCAGTTGTATTTGAAAATGAGATTAGTTACTCATCAAATAAAATACCAAATCCTTACGTTGAGTATAGAGGAGTTTGGGGTGGAGTTTCACGTGTTTCAATTTGTGGAATTTTATGTAGTGATTCTATTTCAGATTATTGTTCTCCTAGAAATCCTAGTAATATACGATTTGTTATTGATGATTTGGCATTAGTACGAGATACAGAAATTGCATTAACAGCTGTTGGTGTGATAAGTGTAGTAGCCATTATGTTGTTTTTAACTATCATAATAGTAGCCTATGCTAGTATTAGTGTTCCCATTCAACATTTGAATGCACTTATTTTTGATGCTGTTAGTGGGAAAAGAACAAAAACAAGACGGGATCATTTAATTTTTCAATACACACGAAGATGTTGGCTTGGAGACTTACAGGCTTTAGTACGAACATTTCAGGTACTTTTATTCTGTTTCCAATTAAACAAAAAATATGTACCTCAACATATTTTAGAACAACAAATGCTTGAGTTACAAAATTGCAGAGATTTCTTATGTCATGTTATTGTTGAAAATATGGATGTAGAAGAGGAAGAAGAAGAGGAAGAAGAGGATCCTTCAGAGAATAATCAAGAGAGTATAGAAGCTTTTGTTCATACCGTTTCCGCCGTAGATCCCAAACATGGTGTTAATATGTTAAGTGTATTAGATGCCTTTTCTTGGCCGCCTACAAATAAATCCAGACGAGAAAGTGCCACCAGCGGCTATCACCCGGTGGATGGAGAGGCGGGCGAGACGGGATCTAATCTTGGCATGACGTACAACATTGAGATGATCGGCCGCGGGATGTCAACAGTGGAGGGCGGAACTATTCTCGCCGTGCATCTCTGCGCTATTGAAATGGCGTACTTCACGAACTACGGCGTGGCGGCAAAACAACATCGACGTATTATGAGTCTTCTTCTTGGGCGAATTCGACATTATCGTGGAGAGTTATTTGAACGTTCCGGTGATTGTATAGCTGCTACTTGGAATGCGTTTGAAAGTTGCGCCGATCACGCCCAACGGGCGGCTTTATGTGCTCTTAGTATAGCGAAATTATTATCTCCATATCGTCGGGCTGGTTTTCGTTTGGGCATTGTGCTTCATCAAGGGTCTTTTGTCTGCGGAGTTGTGGAGGATAATAAGGCGGCGTTTACAACGGTGTTTGGTACTGTGCCCCGTCAGGCGATTGCATTAGCAGAATTGGCCGCCTCACTTCCTTGTTTTAGTGTTCTTGTATCGGAACCGGTAAAACAGACGTTGTCTTCATTGTATGAATGCATAATGGTAGATGTAATTAAATACCACGAGGATGATAATCCCATTGTTATGTTTGAAATTAGTGAGGAACGTCGATTTCCACATGTAGAGGGTACACCATTATCACCTTCTGCTTTTGCAGAGGAACATGCACGAGTGTTTTTTGACTTTAGAAATCATGACTTTGAACGCGCATTAGCGCGTATCGATAAATTACGACTACGTTTCCCAGATACAGGAGTACAATTATTACGACGTATTGAACTCCTTTGTAAATATTATATACATCATGAGGATGAATTACCACTTCCATACTTTCGTCTTTATCCTACTTGGCCAAATTATGAAGCCATCGCAAGTGTGGATACACCAGCTGAAATGTTTGTTCAAGGAAGTAGAGATGACCTTTTTGCTGATAATGCCCGTATTACTTTAAGACCTTCAAAATCTATATATGAAGATGATACCGTTCGATTTCGTCAAGAATTATATGATAATGTTCTTGCTTCTAAACGAATAAATAGTTCAGGAGTTAACGTAAAGGCATTAGATAGTACCACCTTAAGATCTGCAGCGACAAGTAAAAGGGAGAGTCCATCTTGGAATGCAACTCCAAGTAATGCCCTACCAGATCCACTCTCTCTTCCTAGATCATGTACGTTAGCGGGAACAAGTAGTCAATCAACACCAGAAAAACGAGCCGAATCCTCACAAGGAGCTGCGACATCTGTAGAATCAAGTACCTATAGACGGGAAAAAGGTTTAAATGAAAGTAGAAGTGGTGGTGATGAAGCGGAAATAACAGTAGATTTATTAACGGAAAAAAGTACGGATGTGGGAGATTCTATGCCTTCTTTACGTACTCAAAGTGAAACGGTTGCTACTAGAGAAAGTGAAGCTGGATCAAGAAGTGGACGTCAACGTTTTTCATTTACTAATCGTTTAGCATCAGCTGTTTTTGAAGGTTGTAATCGTAGTTTTTTTGGTGGAACAGATTCTATAGTTTCATTTACTAGTGAAACTGCACCTAATGTTGCTTCTATTTCTCTTCGTGATGCGGATGGTAGTTTACCAAGAGTAACTTATGAATTACCAACAGAATTTGTTGCAAAAAATGGTATTACCTATTTACGTAGTTCACGTATTCTTGGAAAAGGATCATTTGGTTGTGTTTATCTTGGAATGGATGTTCATAGTGGACGAATGGTTGCTATTAAGTTTCTCCCACTTCCATCTGAAGAGGAAGAAGTCACTAATGTGGAAACTGAAGTAGTGACGATGCAGAAAGTTAAAAGTAGCCATGTTGTGGAATTTATTTCCTACGCTTTTCAAATTAATCTTATTATTATCGTTATGGAATGTATGATGGCAGGATCTCTTCAAGGGATGATATCGGCATTCACTAGTATACCTGCAGCGACGGCACGTTTATTTATTCGAGATGTATTACGTGGTTTGCACAAGTTACACTCCATGGGTGTTATCCATCGTGATGTGAAGCCGCAAAATGTTCTCTTAACGCTTGCTGGCAATTGCAAGATATCCGACTTTGGCGCCTCCGCCTTCTTACAGGAACTTGTGCGTAAACAAATGGAGGGACACGGCCTTCAGGTGCAGGGAACACCTGTTTACTTGGCCCCAGAGGCGGCGAGAGGCACACCGGAGGAGAAGAGTGATATTTGGAGCTGCGGCATTATGTTTATTCAATTAGTGACGGGGGAGTTGCCGTACGCCAAGTCGTTTCTGCAGATGCCGCCGCAAATTCTTGTCTTTCAGATTGGCAGCGGCGCGGCTGTGCCGATTGTGCCGGAGGACCTCGACGTGTTTGATGCGGAGTTTGTGCGGCACTGTCTGCAGGTGGACCCGAAGGCACGACTCTCCGCAAAGCAGTTGTTGGAACTCCCGCTGTTTTCCCTCTAGTCATGTAGTCATCAGCAGAAAGAAAGAGAGAGAGAGAGAGAATGGAAATAATTAACGGTAAGAAAGAAAGAAGTATGGGTGGGTAGTGTAGTGGGATGGGTGGGGGGAACAAACAAATAAGGGGAGAGATGAGTGGTGGAACATTGTATATATATATATATATATATATATATATATATATATATATATATATATATATATATATGCTGTCTGTGGAAGGCATAATATGTGCAAGAAGTACTGCGTCTAGTACTTTGGCAGGAAGAAAGAAAGAAAGAAAGAAAGAAAAAGAAGATAATAACGGACACAAGTGACTATCAAATAGGAAGAAAAAGAAAAAAAAAAAATAAGTTGATACCGAAAGCAATACAGTATTCCAAGAAATCAAAAAAAAAAAAAAAAAAAAGAAAAAACGGAAAAAAAGGGGGAAACTAGATTTAAAACCAACCCAAAGAAATTGACAAGACGTAATTGCTGTTTTTTCGTTGTATATATATATATATATATATATATATGTATATACGCGTGGAAATAAAGTTAAGATGTAAAACCAGTTGGGTCAAATGCCCTGCAATGCAGGCATGTACAGAGGGTATATGCGTTGTGAACCCCCACCAAACTGGAAGATTGCAGTAATAATAATATGTGAAAGAAAAAATGGAAAAAAAAATGAAAGAAAGGAAAAAGATATGCCGAATTGCTAAAGAAAAGTTAATTACTTTTAGCTTCAGGGTTAAATGTGGGGAGTTGTTTTTTATTTTATTATTTTATTTTATTTTATCCCCTGCAGAGAAGTCCCGTTTCGTAGAACTCGAGAAAAGTTATTGCAACTAAAGAGAAGAGAAGAGAAAAAAAAGGCATTCTTTTTTTTTTTTTTAATTTAATTTCACTCACCTCGTCGACATTTGCAACATTAATATGAGACTTCACGTGCCCATATGGGTATGAGTTCATTGTTTCTATCCTTCTTTTTTTTTCGTTTAGTTTTAGTTCTTGCCTTCACTTACTTTAATTTTTTTTTTTTTTATTATTATTTCTTTTTGTATGTGTTAAGATACACCCGATCACACGGAGATGGGCGCAGAGAAAAAAAAAAGTAAAAGTTTAAAAAAATATATATATTTTGCTCCTATGGAAAAAAAAAAAAAAAACGATTATGTTAACAAAAAAAGGGGGTTTATTGTCTCCTTGTTTTTTTCCATGAAAAGGGGAGCTGAGAAATAATAAACCTCACTTTACTATTATTATTATTATTATTATTATTATTATTATTATTATTATTATTATTATTATTATTATTATTATTATTATTATTATTATTGCCATTGGCTGTTAGTAAGCCGCCGTACTGTTTGACGATGGCACTCCATCCGTGTGGTAAAGAGATAATGATACATGCAGAGAAAAGGGATAAAAGAACAAATGGGAGTAAAAAAAAAAAAAAGAATTCTCTTTTCTTTCCGTTTTTTTTCTTTTTCTTTTTTAGTTTCTTTTTTAGTTTCTTTTTCTTTTTTCTTTCATCTTTCTTCTTTCCTACTCCCGTCTTTATTGCGTCCCTTCTTCTTTCCGTATTTCGTTCTTTCTTTTCTTCCTCACCGCTCTGTTGCTCTCATCCATGTAGATTGGAGAGTGGTGAATCCGCTGCTTCTGCTTCTGCTGCTGATGATTATGATGATATTCTCTCACTTTTCTTTTTTTTTTTTTCTTTTTACTACAACTGCTCTTTGTTTACTCTTTTTTTTTTTAGTTTTTCCTATATCTACTCATGACTCCTCTCCATCTTCTTATCTCTTTTTTTTCTTCTTTTTTTTTCTTATTATTCTCCTATCCACCACCTCCCTATTGCTATTCCCTTCTTACGATAATAATAATAACAACAATAATAATAATAAAGGAAGAAAGGAAGAAAAGGGAAGATGCATTTGGGGTTGCGGCGTCTTCTTGCTTTGTCAACATCCAGGCGTGTGCTTCCCGGTAGTCATACTTCGTATTTCTGCTTGGAGCACAAGAGGCACTTACTGCACCTTTCCTCAATTAAACTGAATGCTTCTGGGAACTTTTTCGCTGGAGATGCTTTTGAGGAAGAAGAAATACAACAACAACAACGCCAATTATTACATGAAGAAAGTGAACAACAAGAAAAAGAAGAAGAGTTTATCAATAACACTTTATCTGTGGGGGATAAGATGAAGAGTGATACATTTATAGCTGAGGAAAAGACGAATGTGCCGTTGCAAGAAATGAGTGAAACTGCATCCCTTCTTATCTTGCGAGAAACAGTGCCGCTGACAAGTTCTGATGATCTTAAGGAACTTCTTAAAGGTTGTAAGAACGCTAAAGAAGTGAGACATGTGCTTGATACTGTTTTATACCGAAATCCTCTCACACGTGATGTGTTGAATGGTCATGGTTATCGAGTGGCTGTGCTACAGGCTTTAACAGCAATAGCTCCACGTACTCAATGTCTACATGAGTGGTTTGAATGTGTGGATAAATTTCGTCGACTAGGATTTGTATTAACTCGTACTTTCGCTGCTGAAGGGTTTACATTAATACGTCAATGGCTTTCTCAACATTTTAGTTTTGAGGGTCGATCACCACTTCTCGTCACAGAGGGTATTTCTCATATTCGTGAACTTGTTCAGATGTGTAAAGAAGATCGTCTTGTTTTTGATCATGTCTTATACACTCGTATTGTTTTTTTACTCACTATGATTGTAGGTTTTTTTGATCGACAGAACATTTACCGATCTTCTTTCCCAGAAAACTTTTCAAAACGTGATGGTGTTGTAGTTGAGTGGGTCGTTAGTTGTGAAAGATGTGTTGACTTTGATGAATGTGTTCTTCAGTGTGATGCCGTGCTAGAGGAGATGCTAGAAATGCTACGGAATGATATTCCATCACGACCTAACTTTAGCATAATGTATCGGTTAATTGATTACTATTTTGCAACAGACAATGTAGAAAAGATGATTGCTGTCATGGAGGACACGGAGAGTTATGGTATTGGCATTGCCGAAAGTAGTACAGCCAAATTAATGCAATTGGCGTGTGCATTAAATTATCCAAATGTACCGGAACTCTTTGTACGTTGGCGAGTTTCACTACCGCAGTGTGTATTAGCCGCACCGGATATGAGTCGGTTGATGTTTTACTATTCCCGTTCAGGTGGAGGACGATCATGTCCAGTCTGCGGTGAGCCGTACAATCACCGCAATGTCAGTGTTTACATTTGGCAGAAGACTCCCGAACATCAGCGGAATTGTCCAGCGTTGATGGATGCCCGGCGGCGTAAAGGTGTACTGGACGATAATAGAGAACTTCCACAGAATCAAGATTGGAGTGAAATGGCCTTTGGACTGTGGGAGATGTCGCAGAGCCGAGCCATAGAGTGGGGCGTAGTGGAATGGCGTAGTTTTCTTCTCTGTTGTATGTTTTCCCCTCGTGCCTTGGAGGCGAAGAAATTAATAGATGAACACTTTGATACGGCCAAGATGGATGACTTCCTGCGGGCTACATATATTCGTTTATTACGGCATAATGCCCCAGAGAAGGTCTTATCTACATTAAGTCTTTGGCGTGAGAAGAGTCAACGGACATCACCTATTGTCTTGCAGGAGTCTCTCATGTGTGCGGCGATGGTGGGAGCTGAAAAGGAACGCTGGAAGGCCATGAAAGAGATTTGGAAATCTCTATTAGAGAGAGATAGTTATGTGATGCCATTTACGAAACGGTTATTGCAAAAACGTTTAAAAGAATTACGTGCACGTCCATCTGGTGTAGCAGACGAAGAAGTTGCCTTATTTGAGGAAATGATTGGAATGCAACCACGACATCTCTCTCTGTTAGATATGAAGGATAGTACAGGAGACTTTGTGGTGGGCACTTCAAAGAAAAACGCCTATATCCCTGCTACTGTTGCTAGACGAAACGATACAACACGACAGCAGCGTAGACGCGTGTAAAATCAATTTTTTTTTTCTTCTTCCTGTTATTATATAATATACATAAGGCTAAAAGGAAAAAGAAAAGAAAAGAAAAAGGCAATTAAAAAAAAGAAAAAGAAAGAAGAAATGATTTTTATTTATTTTGTATATCTTTCTGAGGTATTTGGATAATACATTTCTTTTTTTTTTTTTTTTTCTTTCTTCTTCTTGGTGTGTGGGGTTGGGTGGGGTGTGGGTGAGTGGGGAGGGCTGACTTTTCTTTTCCTTCTCTTAATACGGAATCTCAGGCCTTAATGTTATTCCTTTTCTTTTTCTTCCACTAGTTGACTGAGACTTGGCACGGTGTGGATCCTCTTTCTTTTTTTTCCTTCTGAGAGTTTTCATTTCCGTTGCGTTCTACACATAGCGCACACATTGTTTCGAAACGTCTTCACTGCACAAAAGAAAACAAAAAAAAAAAAGAAGGAGGGAGATGGTGCGTTTGTAAATGTAAGTTTATCTATCTATCACTCTCTCTCTCTGTCTGTCTGTGTATATGTTTGTCGTTCTTTCTATTTCTCTGTTTGTTTGTTTGTTATTCCGTTTGTGAGTAAAAAAAAAAAAAAAACATCATAACTGGTAATACTGAACTGGGGATGGGCCGAACATGGCAGAAGTTATCTATTCATCTATTTTTTTTTTTGTTTTGTTTTGTTCTCTCTTTTGCCTTTTCATCTTCTCTTGTTTTTTTGTAATACCAGGAGAACAGAAAAAAAAAAAAGAAAAAGAAGTAATTTCTCTTCATTCCCCCCTCCTTCTCCATGTCCTCTGAGCACTCCAAGAGTAGGAGCAGCAGCAGCAGCAAAAAAGACGCTGCGGATAAGTATGGTACTGTGCAGCCGCTTGCTTTGGCGGGATATACACATCTGCGGCGTATCTCCAGCAGCAACACGCATGAGACGTTGGTAGCCCAATCTCTACATACAAAGGAACTTGCGCATATACGCGTGTTTGCATTAGGGCGTTTGCGTAAAAACCCGCAACTTCGCGACTCTTTGGAGCGATGGGCTCTCGTGGGGCGAACAGCGCGACACCCAAATATTGTGAAGGGGATGTCTTCATTTGTGAGTGCATCCGATCTTTTTCTTGTGGAGGAGCACTGCATGGGTGGGGAATTATTTTCTGTTCTCGACGCCTATTACCGCAGTGGAGCCACAATACAAACGGAAATGTTTCCATGCATTTCATTAGAATTTGTGCGGTGTGTAATGCGGGATGTCATGAGTGCTGTAGAGTATCTTCACACTACTTGCGGTGTGGTTCATCGCGGTATTAAACTCGAAAGTATTTTTCTCGATGCCAACAATCGTGCCAAGTTGGGCCGATTTGGTATGTGTGCGGCTATTCCAAACCGTGAGAGTAATGACGGGATGCTGCAGTTGTGCGTGGCCTCCAAACACTACGCCGCACCGGAGTTGGTGATGGGTCATCTATACAAGGGGGAATTAATAGATGTTTGGGCGGCGGGTGTTGTGCTATTCGTGATGTTGACAGGCCGGTTTCCATTTACACAGGAAGAAGGAGATGAGAAGATGTTATTTGAGCGTATTTGCACGGCAGATGAGGTGTTGTTGACACATCCTGCACTTGCCGCAGTGTCAGATCCTCTAGCGGTTGATTTAGTGCGTAATATGTTGCGTGTGAATCCACAGTGTAGACTTACAGTGAACGAAGTACTGCAACATCCATTTCTTTCTATACCATAGATGATATGTGTTGGGGGAGTAAAGAAGCATATATATATATATATATCCATCTGAGTGAGTGAGTGCATGAGTGAGTGAGTGAGTATAAGTGTGTGTGTCTATTGTTTGGGAGAGAAGATGCAAACCATCCTTGAAGGACGGTATCTGCTACACAACAAGAAGAAGAACAAGAGGAAAGAAAACACACGTGCATGCATGTTTGCATAGAAATAAAGAAGAAAAAGAAGAAACGAAAGAAAAAAAAAAAAACGTGATTAATATTTCTCTTTTTTTTTCCTGTTCCCCACCTAACACCTGTCACACACACTCTCTCTCTCTTTAAACACCCCCATGCTATTTTCTCTTCTCTCTGGAGGTGTTTCTTGTTTGAGGAGGGGTAGACGAATAAGAAGGAAAATCAAATAGGAGAAGAAATAAAAAAAAAAAGAAGTAAAGAAGTAAACAACGATATGCGTCGGGTTGCAAGGCACTCCTCTGCACGAAACCCTGCACATCGTTGCCGTTGGACACTCAACAGAGCAGGAGCTCTCTCTCATTCCACGGATCTACGCTTCGCCAGCATGTGTCAACGTGTGAAGGATGAGATTGATTGGGATCTTGACTTCTCGCTCTTACCACACTCCACACAGGGCGATAAAGTACACGAAGTACTGCAGTTCTGCGGTTCCCCCGCAGTCTCCACAGCGGCGCCATTAGTGGAACGGCTGGAGGTGACTGTCAACTCCGCAGCTGTGGGAGTGGCGGTGACTCGCATGTTTTGTACGGCGCCATTTGCCGCCCTGCGGAGTCTTGAACTTACTTTGCATGATACGGCTTTTCTCTATGATAATAAGACTCTTGCGGCGTTGTTTAACGCTGTTGCTGAAAGTGTCTCTTCGCATCTTGAGTCATTACGAATTACATTTGTTCTGACAGACATGGAGCGTAGTTTGCAGTGGAGTCACGAAGCGATAATGTCTTTAGCCGCACTCATCTCCACTGCAACACTTCAGGGATTATCTCTGGAATATTTGAACCTCTATGGGACACGTGAAGAGGATCTAATTGTTATCGCCAATGCCATCACTCATTCTCATACGATGAAACATTTCTCACTTCGTGGTTCTCGTAATTTTATTTCACGGGTTCCTTTTATACGTTCTGTTATTCTTGGTATGCGAGATTTAGAAAATTTGGACCTCAACTCTACTTTACTTGGTGATGCTCAAGCAGTTCAGTTGATAACTTCACTAAAGGAATCCATTGGTGGATGGTATCGTCTACGTCGATTGAGTCTTGCAGAGACAAACATTTCAACTTGGGCACTGAAGCTTCTACTTCGCGATATTGCAGAACTTCCATCTGGTGAATCTGCAAATCTGGAGTATTTAGATCTTAGTAGCAATGGTATAGATGATGAGGGAACATTTGTTTTGGCTAGTTGTTGCATGCGGTGTGAGATGCTGTGTGAACTTCACCTTCGACATAATCGAATTGCTAAAAAAAGTGCTACCGCTCTCGGTTCTGCTCTTATTCCTGCATCTTCATTACAATATTTGAATCTTCACAGTAATCCATTAGGTGATGAAGGTCTTCATAGTCTCCTTCAACACGCCAAGTATTGGACGGAGTTGCGTTCTCTCGATCTCACCCGTTGTCGACTAACGGCGCGCTGTCTCGATACACTTTACACCGTATTGCCTCTCTTTGAGAAGCTGCAGGATCTTACACTGGACCGTAATGATATGCGACCACTCAAGAGTTCAACACAGAGTAATAACAATGACGATGCAGAAGGGGATCTGGAGCTCTTTCCATATGATCCCCGTTTCATGCAAACTGGTCGTTACGGGAATTCTAAGGTACTTACATCCTTTGAACTTGACCGCCGTGATGCTAAAGATGGGCGAAAAAGATTTAAAGGAACAGAGGTGTACCGTGAAGTGGATGACACTAATAATAATAATAATAATAATAATAATAATAATAATAATAATAATAATAATAATGATACGGTGTCGTTTGAGCGTTTTGGATCTGCACTCTCAGGATGCCGTGAACTTCGTCGTCTCTCACTTTCCGGATGCTCCTTGACGGATGCCTCCTTCACGGTGTTGGCTTCTGCATTAGTGGTGCGTCAACTTTCGTATCTTGATTTGAGTGGTAATCCCTTGTTTGCACAGATGAAGAGTTTAGAATCTCTTGCTGGGTTACTACGCCTTGCAAGTCCTTCACTACAAGAGCTTGACCTCTCCTGCACGGGTTTAGGAAGTATTGGTATCTCACTTCTAGCTGATGAGGAGGAGGAACAAAAAGAAGGTGAATCCGCTTTGCGTTCATTAAAGGAACTTAAACAGTTGCGTTTATCAAGTTCTTGTATTGGAACAGATGGGTTTGAGGCACTCACGGATGCAATATCAAGTTTGGTGTCTCTGGAACGATTATTTCTTGATGGTAACAAGATTAATGAGGTAAGTACTTTGATTTCTTTACTTGGGGCATTGCTGGAGTTACCATTATTAAAATTTGTTGGACTTTACGGTTGTGTTACACATAATTATACATCTCTTATCGTGGAATCTCAGGAGTACTTAACCTTACAACGTAAAGGTGTTGTAATTCATCTTTAATAATACATTTGCTAGAGTAACTTGCTTTGATGATGATGACGATGAAGGGTGATGTTGGCACTTGTAATCCTCTTGAGGATAAAGAGATACTGGTTATCAAAAGGGTAGATTCTATTCTACTTCCTCACCTTTAGTATCGCTATATATATATATATATATATATATATATATATATATATGTATATATGGTTTTATTTTATTTT